TATATGCTCACTTTAATGATATTGCTCCTTCAGTCAGTTTTCCTAACATGGTATTTGTGTTCTGTAGACAACAGACTAGAGGAGCTTCAGGAGAAATACAGCCAGGAGGTAGAAGAAAGAAAACGGCTAGAGTCTGAACTCAAAGTCCTGCAGGTCAAAGTGAGTGCATTATTTATATTTAGATATATCTATATAATATATATTTTCTGGGATTGTTTCTTTGTTGTTGATGATGTTAACGTCTCTCTTCTCTGTTAGCTGTTGAATCAGTCCTCAGTCAGTGTAAGCCACAAGGACATTGCTGCTCGCCAAGCTGGATCTTCCATATTCCCATGGCAGCAGGATCAGGCCCACAGCCGCCGGTCTCAGGATGTGATGGAAACGCCTCTGAAGAGGCGGGGGACATCCCTGTGGGACGCCCACGAGGAGACGCCTATTAAATGCAGCCAGCGGATGAGCTCTACCAGAGCTGTGCAAAGTCCCAGTGGATCCTCCCAACAGATGGAGCAGCTAAAGACCATGAACCAAGGTGGACTGTCTATAAATTGTACCTTTTATACATGTTTTTGGCTCTTCTTGAGTTAGATATCTAATGTCCAGCAACAAGGCTTTCATTTTTTACGGTTTCTTCATCAGAGCTGCGTGGACGTGTGTCAGATTTGGAGAGGAATCTGTCCACTCAGGAGAAAGAAATTCGTAACCAGGCCTCCAAGCTGCAGGAATTACAAACCCAACTGAACCAAGCCCGCAAAGAGCTGATAGAACGGGACAGAGACCTGGCCAAGACCAGACACGAGCTGACTCAGGCCACAGACAGACACCAGCAGGTTGAGACCAAGGTAGGCTTGGAGATTATTATTAAGATTACTAAACAGAGATATGTGGTTTGTATTCTGTGTCTGCTTGATTGTAGTATAGTAGTAAAGATGGGTAAAAACAGCAGAAAACAAATATATGACAAAGATTCTGCTTATTGTTCTTCAGTGTTCATCAGTTGAGCAGAAGCTCAAACAAGTTACGGAGGAGATGAGCTGTCAGAGGCACAACGCTGAGAGCTGCAAACGAGCCCTAGAGCAGAAACTCAAGGACCAAGAGAGAGACAGTCAAAAGGTGCAACAACCTGCAGTGATGACATGAATAGACCTTTTAACATTTTCATGTTTTATTACATGAAAAAAGCCATGTTTGGAATTTTAATAAAACATTTTTGTACCTGTTGTATTTTGAGTAGGAGCTAGCCCAGTTGCAGAGTTCCCACCAGGCTTTGGAACAGCAGCTGAACCAGACCAGAACCAAGCTAACACAAGAGCTCCAACAGTCCAAAAAAGACTTAAACGTAGTGCAGGCGGACACGGAGAAGGTAATTTTGTAACATCTCTGTTCTGCACTTTCTGCTCCTCCTTCATCTAGTTGATCACATTCTTTCTTCACAGCCATCAAGTTTGATAACTTGTAATAAA